TTTTTTTTTTTTTTTTTTTTTTTTTTTTTTTTTTTTTAATGCGTGTCATCCTTGCGCAGGGGCCATGCTACTCTTCTCTGTATCGATCCAATTTTAACGGATGTCCCGAAGGACAGTTCTGGGTTTCATTATAATTTTTTCATTTGACTCATTTTTGAATTCTGTACATTTGCTAGTGTCAGTTCAGTTTTGTCCTGCGCCACTTTGCATTTTCCCGGTTCAGATTGTGTTGTTTCAATGTGTTTTTTTTTTTGTCAGAACTTGGCGCAGAACAAAACTGAACTGACACCAGCAAGGGAAAGATGATGCAAGTGTGTCGAGTGTTTCACTGTGTATTCCTGGTTCATATTGCGTTGTTTCATTATTTTTTGTAGACGGAATCGTGATCCGTTGATGGAGACAAGGAGTCATGATTGTGTTGTTCCACTGTTTTTTGCCAGAACTTGGCACAGAACAAAACTGAACTGACACCAGCAAGGGAAATATGCAAGTGTGTAGAGTGTTTCAGAACTTTCAGTGTATTCCTGGTTCGGATTCCGTTGTTTCAGTGTTTCGCAGTTTCAGTGTTTTTTTGTCAGAACTTGCCCCACCCACTCCCAAATTCGACGGATTCAGAAGCGCACTTGGCAGCAGCTCGACATTTCGATGTCGTGCTTGCTCGATTGATCAATTGATCGTTCATCAAGTTCTCGCCTTGCTCTCTCCAATGAGGCGGTTTGTTATCTTGAAACTTCAACAATCCTTTGGTTTGGTAAACGTTTTTTTTTCTGCTCCTCGCCAACAGAAAGTGGCCCTCATCTTTCATTCCTGATTGATTGTTATCTTCATCATCATTAAGTCGGTGTTGGGGTGGGGTGTATCGCAACTGTCTACTTCCTATGGCTTCTTCGTTGATTTGTGGAACTTCTCCAGTTTTGCTCGTACAATTTTTTGCCTTCCTGCAATTCTCTCTCTCTTTTTTTTTTTTTTTTTTTTTTTTTTTTTTTTTTTCGGCCAGTGGCTTCTGGTGTCTTTAATATTCACATGGATCACAAAGCCTGCAAGCTGGAACTACTGTTATCTCTCGAGACTATCATTTTGACCCTATGAGGCTGGGAAAAAAGCTGTCGCACGGTCGGATTCAATACTTGTCCTTTCCCCTCCTCACCCTCTGTTGTCAGTCCACGAGTCCACGACATCGCCAAGTCACCCTCCTATGTTAGCTATAGACTGCACCCCTGGTGGATACGTTGCAGTTATGTGCAGCGTGGCGCAGGATAAGGTATGATGCAAGCCAGTAGAGTAGGGGACCTCGCCACAGCACTCTCGAAATGTGAAAAAGACAAAAAGGTGGCGGGCGCATCTGGTCATGTTCTAATGGGAAGTTCCTTTCTCATTTTGCACATTTCGACAGTGGTGTGGCAATGCCCTAGGTTGACACTGACGTGGAGCGAGTTGCAGCATCGACGGAGTATTAGGTGAAAGTTCAGCACGAAGGTGGAGAAGGATTAATGCAACATCGGCAGAAAAATGAGTTCCAGCATCGGCAGAAAAATCAGATTAGGGTACTCTGGTCACTCTTGCCTCAATGCAACATGAACTACATGTCGGAGCTCATT